ATGCCCTCCAGGCATTATAGGAATAGAGGGCCAAGAAGCATAGGAAAGCAAAGAGTTGGGGGTTGTTAATTGCACAGAGTATTAAAAATCATCTACTAAAAGTAGCATTTGATAAAAGCCAGGTAGTAAGTATTGATGTGTACACACTGTTCTGACACTATGAAAACAAATATGAGATTTAGATAAATCTAGTCTCTTCCATGTACTTGATTGGTTGCATCGCGTCAAGGAAAATGAAAAATAAAAAATCTGGGCACTGATTAAAATATTTTTCTTTTTCTGATGAAGGATGTGGAGATAAAGCAGATAATTTTTTTTAAAAAACCAACACAATAAAGGGAATCAATTGAAAATTATTTGGTTAAATTGCTTCAAATTCCTATGGGAACACAATGTTATCAATTTAAAGATGGTTTATATTAACGTCAGCAGTGACAGCAGCACAAGGTACAGATCAACACTATGGTGATATATAGAGGCGCACAGAAGTGAACAATCCTGGAGGCTTTCACCCTCATTTAATTACACAGCTTAGGAAAAAGCATTTTGCCCTTAAAAAAAAAATGTAGTTTACATTGTGTGTGGAACAGAGCTAATAATAAACTAGTCTGACAAGACGTTGGCTCTTCTCTATCATGCAATCGCCCGTTTTCTCCACCTCTTGCAGGGCACCACCCTGATGACCAGCCTGACTTCGATAATGTTCGACAAAAATGTGTGGGAGACTCCAGACACCTTTAATCCTGAACATTTCCTGGAAAACGGCCAGTACAGGAGGCGGGAGGCTTTCCTGCCCTTCTCTGCAGGTAGGATGATGGATGCGGAGAAGGTTTTTCTTTTTGCAATGCTTTTTTTTTTTTCCCCCCAAAACACCCCCTCCAGAGTAGGAGGTGCTGCTCCTTGTCCGGCTTTCAGCCCAGGCCCAGCATTTCCCACAGTGAAAATCCCTGTAACAGTTAATACTGATTTCTCTGAGCAGGAGGGCAATCAATTTGTTATTGCAGGATGAAAAAAATAAGCCTTTTTCCTCTTGTGCAAGCTGCAGAAATGCTTTTTTTTTTCAACGAGCTTCCCCTCTTCGTCTATCCAAACAGCCGTTGCAGTTTGCTCAGCAGTAAACTTCTGGGGAAGATTTCTGCAGAATGTGTGGGTGAACATTGCCACCTAACCTTTCAAGGAAGAAAAGCTCCCTCAGCCTGTGCAAGGCGGCACGTGAGAGAGGAGCCTGCGAGGTTGTTGAAGCTCGCTCAGGACTCGGTGGTGTTATTTTTGCTCCTTTTTCCAGGCAAGCGGGCTTGTCCCGGGGAGCAGCTAGCCAGGACCGAGCTCTTCATCTTCTTCACAGCCCTCCTGCAGAAGTTCACCTTCCGGGTGCCAGCGGCCACCACGCTGAACTTCGCCTTCACGCTGAGCCTCACGCGCTGCCCCAAGCCGTTCCAGATCCATGCGCTGCCTCGTGACTGAGGCTGGCATGGGGCTGCCCCACACCCCCCTGCTTCAGCCCTCCGCAAGCCTGGAAAGTGCCCCCTCTCCTATCTGCTCCATAGATTTTGGGCCATGGATGTCTAGCACCAACCAATGAGATGGCAGTGAGAAGGACAGGAGGGCCACATCCTGCACACTGCAGCAAGGACCATCCTTGGGGCTTTTCCTTTCGCCTCCTGCCTTCCCCAGTTCTATCAGTTTGACAAAATCTATGAATTTTAAAGCCTTATTACTTAATTTCTGCCATTAGCACCTCCCAGGAAGGTGTCTGCCAGCTGCAAAACCATGGGTACAATTGGGTCCACAGTGTCTCTTCCACAGGGTATGCGTCCACCACCCAGAGACCATTTAGCAACCCCTAAATCCCAGTGCTGCAGCGCCCTGAATGGCCATGGGCTGTGTTTTCTGAGGTTGCCCTGGTCAGTGGGGGCAGCTGGCCTTGGACGTACAAGCTCTTGGTTCATGCCTCAGCACCAATTTGGACTGCCAGGTGGCCATGGCTGAGTCTGAGGCTCAGGTGACCTCCGTTTCATGTGCGTTCCCCACACCACCGTGTTGCTGCTTTGTAATGCAGATAGAGATCCTTGCAGCAGGAGCATCCCGTTTTTTAATCTCATATGTATATGGAAGTTTTAATTAGGAGGCTACAGGGTGGTAGAAGCAGCTTCTACCATGGGCCAACCCAAGTGGGATGGCATGAGAAGCCATGCCTCCAGATCATGAATGGCTATAAAAATGAAGTATTGCAATTGAATGAGGGGGAAGGGTTTATCCAAAAAGGTTCGTGGTAGTAAAATACACAATGTGAAAGAAAAGTTGCAAAAAAATAATTGCATGGAGTTGCTCAGGAGTAGTTTAGCCAAAGCCCAACAGGAGGAGAAGCAGCAGAGTGTCGGAAGGGTCATGCCCTCAGCGGCTCGCTGCTGGCCGTCAGGAAGGAAACATTGGCATGGAGGCTTTGCAGTGGGAAGTCACGAGCGCACCCACTTCCCTTCCACTGCTGGCAAAGATTTGTGGCCATGCATGATGGGCATGTCCGCAGCGTGGGGCTGAGGAGGTGGGTCAGGGGCATGGCACCGCCTGTGATGGAGACGCTGCTTCTGCCCATACAAGGGTCTCTTTGGAAAAGTGTTAATTACATATGCATATTGTAGAGAATTTTTCCATTTATGTGACCAAGAATTAATGCCTAGAAATGCTGTCTCCCGTGTGCTTTTGTTTGGAATACAGTCACGGCAAAGATTGGGAGTTTTTTCCTTCTCACCTTTCATGAGTGACTTTTCTATGGGCACCCGCATAGGATACTGAACAGTTAACAGGAAAAGAGGATTAAATCAAGTTTCATTTCCACCGGCTTTAGCCTCCATCTCTGGCAATAAACCGCCTTTGCTACATTACAAAGCAATCACTGTGCAGTGGCAGATTTATGCCACATGGGAGAGTCCTTTGCACATCACATTCCTGCCATGCCGGGCACACAGGGATTTTGTCAATGAGCCGTCCTTCTAACTGATCACTTTAATCCTATTGCATTTTTAATTAATGTTTTGCAGTTACAGGCTCCTGTGTATTTTTTTTTTCTTTCTAAAAGAGAAAACATAAAAGATCTGTGGACTTTTTTTCACCTATGAAGTTTTCAAAGCCTTTCAGGACTAGGCAGTGGTTTCTCTCTACTTTTTTATTCGCTCTGGTGTAGGTCTGACCTCTGGTATGTGGCTACAGCTTGTATTATTTTCACTGGCTTAGCAAATAAATGGTGATCTCTTCCCTCTTCCATTTTATACTTGCCTTTCCCTGTAACTTTAGGGTTTCCTTCCCTACTCATGGAGAGAATAAATGATTGAAGTCATCTTCTTCTTCTTCTTTCTTTTTTAAATCAGTCGGGAAAAAAACCCAACACCCCCCCCACCACCACCACCATTTTTAATTGTAATGGTCCCAGACAATAAAGACAGGAGACAGAATTTGTTTATGCTGCAAAGGTTATGCAGAGGCTTCACTCTTGCATGGATGTCATCGCTCCAGCGGCACTGTTGCATCTCTGTGCCTTGTCTTTGGCACTGGACAACTGCAATGGCTGCAACTGATGCCCCCGAAAGAGAGAAAATGAACCCAAATTGTCTCCCAGAGCACGAGGTGGCAGCTGACAACTGGAAACAGCCGTGGCAGAGCCGCATGGTGCAATGGCAAACCGCTGCTGCAAATTCCCCTGCTTCTTTCACAATAAAATACAACACATACATCAAAATTCAATGTGGTCTACATCCGTCATCAACTACCCACCATCAACTACCTGCCTCAGAGCCACTCTTAGATGGGAAAATTAGGCACAGCCTGTTACCAGCTACCACCGAAGAGTCACAGCCTGCAGAGCTGGGCATCTGCTTTGGCTTTTCAGCATCTGCCTTATGTTTGTCGGGCTTTGGACAAGGCTTCAGCACAGGCTACAGACTCAAAGGCCAAAGCGGGTGGGAAGGGATGGCTGGAAGGCTCAGGGCAGGGCCAACCTCATGGCTGAAGCAGGTTGGTCTGCTTGCCTGGTGGAGATCAGAAAATTACGGTACTTAGAAATCGCCGCAGATCCTGGACAGCTGTTTGCTTCCAGCCCACATCACCCTGACGCACCCAAACCTCAACCCATGAGTCAGATGGTTTGTGAAAGGTTTGTGCAACCTTATCTCAGATGTCCCCGCTGACCTGGGGCTTGGTCTGGGACTATTCGTACCAGCGAACGAGCTTCTGCAAACGAGGAAAGCTCGAGGCGCTCGGAGCGGCTGGAGCCTCCCCGGCACCGTGAAGCCGACGCCTGGACGTGGCACGGTGAGGGCACCATAGGGAGGAGAGAGCAGGGCTCACACTGAGCCTTGGGCTCATGGGAATGGCATGGCAAGGCTGCCGGAAGGTTTCAATCCCAGTTCTGCAAAGCTTGTTTCTGTCCTTTAGACAAGGACACAGATCACTGGGGTTTTATAAAGCAGCGGTGGGAGGCAGGAGGGGAAAGGGGGAGCTGGGAGTGGTTTGGTTTGTGGTTTGGTTTGTTTTTTTTTTAATGAGATCAGAGGAAATGCATGAGTTTAATCAAGAAGGGGTTTAATCAAATGTTCCTTGCTAAAACCTGGGAAAGCAGAAGTCCGAACTCAGCCTCCAGGCCAGGTCAGCAAAAGCTGCTCCATGCTGTCTTGTGTTTGTGCCCACAGCTGAACCAGCACATTGCCCATCTCCCCCCTGTTTTGGTTTGGTTTTTTTTTAATGAGATCAGAGGAAATGCATGAGTTTAATCAAGAAGGGGTTTAATCAAATGTTCCTTGCTAAAACCTGGGAAAGCAGAAGTCCGAACTCAGCCTCCAGGCCAGGTCAGCAAAAGCTGCTCCATGCTGTCTTGTGTTTGTGCCCACAGCTGAACCAGCACATTGCCCATCTCCCCCCTGTCCCTGGGGGGTTTGATGGTGCCCTGTGAGCTAAACCTGCCCTGACCTGCTGTGGGACACGTCCCTGTAGAGCCCAACCATCCACCCATGCTGCGCTTCCTCTGGGAGAGCATCTCCTTCCAGATGCTCCTCATCTTCCTCGTTGTCTTCCTGCTCGTTGCTGACTACATGAAGCACAGAAAGCCGAAACACTTCCCTCCCGGCCCCTTCTCCTTTCCCTTGCTGCTGCACCTCCACCTGACTGTGGGGAAGGGGATGGAGGGGATTGCGGCTATGCAACCTTTGCAGCATGGGGAGGGGATTAACCCAAACCCCATGGCCCATAAGGACTTGGAGGCGCTCACCCCAGGGCGGGCATGAGGTTTGCCCTCGGTCGGCAGCAATGAGGATAAAGTTTGCCCAGGTACAAGGAGGGGGACAAGTGTGGCACAATCCTTTGGGCAAAGGGCATGGCCTGACACCACGGGTGCAGTCACTGCTGTAGGAGTCCCGTAGGTCTGACCAGGGACTGGAAGGGTGTTTAGGAAGGGAGTGAAACAAAAGCTGGAAAAACACAGGACTGAAAAATCACACCTGGAGAGTTTTACTTAATTTATGGCCAATTAACACCAACTCCTGATCAGTGATTTGGGAAAAGAGGAAAGAAAAAAGACCATATACAGACAAGGAGGCACTTGTTCAAACACCCTGTCTCCCCTCCCACTCTCAGGTTCCCTTATTTTCACCCATGTACCCTGTCAGGGCTGTCCCGGTCCTGACAGACATGTCCATTACAAATTAAACCCCTTTTATTTATTCCCTCCCCCTCCTAGCTTGCTGAAAAATATGGGGACATCTTCAGCTTGCACCTGGGCAGCGCATCATTTGTGTTCATAAATGGGCTGCGGATGGTTAAGGAAGTTCTTGTAAACCAAGGGGAAAACTTCATGGATCGCCCTGAAGTTCCTCTTGACAGGGAGATCTTCAGCAACATAGGTAAGTTACACCTCAGGACACATACCTCAGCTGTAAGGTCAAAGCATTGACCCTGCAGAGGACCAAGACAGTTGGAGAGAAGGCAGAGCCCTGGAGCTTTTTTCTCTCGGTGGAGGGACCTGCCTTGGCTCATGGTGGGGTGTTTCTGCCAGGACTGGTCTCCTCCAACGGGCATTTGTGGAAGCAGCAGAGGAGGTTCACCTTGAGCACCCTCCGAAACTTTGGCTTGGGGAAGAGGGGCCTGGAGGAGCGCATTCAGGAGGAGTGCCGATGCCTTGTGGATGTGTTTGGGGATGAGCAGGGTAAGTGCCACGGCCTTCGTACAGGAACCAGTACGGCCCATTATAATTTCACCCATGATCTACAGAATGCTGAAAAATTGTTCGCCTTGCAAGCAATGCTAGGATCCTGCCAGCATCTCAGCTCTCTTTCATGGGTGTTTTGCCTTCAAACTGACTGGTGAATGCAGCTTAGGTAACACCCAACACATTATTTGTAGCCCACCTTCAGCCTACTGCTCTCTTGGAGATCTCTGGAAAAATCCCATGTGTGTGTAAACACCAACGTTTCCAATGAATTCAAATGACGTCTGCTCTTCTGCAGACCTTGCTTTCCAAAGTAAACAAACATCTCCATAATCTGATTGAACTGGGATCGCTGGAGCTGCCCAGCCAAGCTTGGCCAGTTCGTGGGGGCAGCAAGGTGTCCTGGGAGAGCAGTGACACAGGGTGCCCATCACAGACCACTCATTTCACTCATATTTGTTGCATATTTTACCTCTGGCAACTGTGTTTTCTTCTCCTTTTCTGTGAAGACTGGAAGAGAATTGATCATTCCCTTTTTCTTCTCCAGGGAGTCCTTTCAACCCTCACTTTAAAATTTATAACGCCGTTTCAAACATCATCTGCTCCATCACCTTTGGCAATAGGTTTGACTACCACGATAAGGACTTCCAAAAAATGCTGCAGCTGATGGATGAGACTGTTAGCCTCCATGGGGCCATCATGAGCCAGGTATAGCCCTTCGCAGGGCCATAGTTTCTTCTCTGGAGTCAGCCTTGAAAATCATAGTGTTTTCATCACCAAACTTCGTTGTCATTCCCTTTTCCTTTGCACAGGGTAGATTTGTCCGTAATTTATTTCTGCCTTATTTTCAAGCTGTGCAATGCTCATGTTGCTCTCTCTTGCCCAACATCACCTTTCCTGCCATGATTGCCAACCTCCCTGCTGTAACGCCAGGTAATGCACAAGTCACTCTGTAACAGCAATACCAGTCCCTTGTAATGCTCTTCTAGAGCTGAGCTGTTTCCATCAACTCCAGCAATTTAGTAAGCGTGGTATTGCAGGCTCCTCAAGTTTTGATTACAGAAGGGTTTTTTCAGTCCTTTGTTCAATTTACTTCTTTCCTTTTGTGTCCAAAGCTGTACAACTCGTTCCCATTTATAATGAAGTTCCTCCCTGGACCCCACCAAACCATTTTTAAAAATTGGAGGTTGTTGAAATGTTTCGTGAAAGAGAAGATCAACAAACACAAGGAGGACTGGAACCCCTCAGAGAGCCGGGACTTCATTGACAGCTACCTGCAGGAGATAGCCAAGGTCAGCAACACGGAGCAAACCCTTCTGCAGCAGGGCTTAGAAATCAGGAGGGATGAGAAACAAGCCCAAATTCTCCATCTGAGCCGCCTGTGCGGCCATTGATGAGCTTAGGATGGACATCAGGTTCGGGGCACCTGTCAGCAGGATGGAGGTGCAGGGGGCCAGCAGCTTCTGCCAAAATCCTTGGGGTTGTCTTGGACTAAACCTGGTGTCAGGGCAGCCCTCGCTGTTTGTGCGTCACTAACGCACCTTTTTGTGAAGGACAATGGCAGCGGCACCTTCCAGGAGGAACACCTTGTGGCATGCGCGCTTGACCTGCTGTTTGCCGGGACCGAGACCACTTCCACAACCCTCCGCTGGGCTCTGCTGTATATGGCCATGCATCCAGAAATTCAAGGTACAATTAGCAAAAGATCAGCGTTTTTCCTTCCTTTTAGCCCTCACAGCTTCATGAGAGACTCTCTTATTTGAGAGAAAAATTGGGAATCCCCCTGTGCTTGCACAAAAGAGGTGCAAACAGTAGCAGGTGTCCCAGGTCGGTCTTTGGGGGACGCTCACAGCAACCACCTTGCATTGTTCCAAAGGTTTTTTTCTTGCACTTTGGCTGACCCCTGCTCTTTCCTGCCAGCCCGCGTGCAAGCCGAGATTGATGCAGTCATTGGACAGGCGCGGCAGCCAGCCCTGGAGGACAGGAGCAACATGCCCTATACCAATGCTGTCATCCATGAAGCGCAGAGGAAAGGCAACATCATCCCTTTCAACGTGCCAAGACTGACGGTGAAGGACACGGTCTTGGATGGCTTCCACATACCAAAGGTAACCCCACTCCCGAGCGCTGAGACTTTAGCAAGTGACTCCCAATTGCCCGGGCACATTTCACTGGGCCAGGTCCCTCCTGAGCAGGTAGGAGGGGCAGAGCCACAGCGTCTCTGCCCTGTCCAGAGTTCACTCCTATTGAACTCCTCTTTCTGTCATCCAGTGTCTGGCACACTGAACAGCATGAGACACCCCCCGCGCACACCATTGAGGCACAGATCCCATCTCGCACAACTTTTACAGGAACTTTGGACCAAGATTACAGCAGATAAAACTGATGCTGATGAGGGAAAACATGGGTATATAATCATTGCACCTCCAAACAGACAAGTAGGAAAAACTGAACCTGCAGGGTGTGTTGGACAAATAATTGCAGCAGAATTTGACTATGGATGTTCTTCATGGAGAGGAGACTGGAAGATAAAAAAGCTCCCCTGCTGTCAATGACAAAGAAAGTGCAATTTATTTTTCTTTTTCTCCTCTTAGGGCACTGTTTTGCTCACAAATTTAACCTCAGTGATGTTTGACAAGAATGAGTGGGAAACTCCTGACACTTTTAACCCTGAACATTTCCTGAAGGATGGTCAGTTCTGGAAAAGGGAGTCTTTTGTGGCATTTTCTATAGGTAAGATTTGCTGGATTTTCGTGCTTCCATGCTGAGGCACTGGAATGCGGCTTCCAACTGCAGAGGGCAGATGTTGGCTGCACCCTGGGAGGTGCCGCTCAAGAAGTGCTCATGTGGCCACCCCAAAGCACCACAACTCCACTCTCAGCCCTTTCTTGTCTCTCTTCCTATGCACAGAAGAGACACGAGGATGAATAAAAGAGCACGAAAATGCCAAAGACCCTAGAAACACCTTCACCAAGGCAAGAGCATTGCTTGTGCTCCTGCTCCCACGTGGCTGAGGTCACTAGGGTGTTCACCATTGCCACCACAGCCAACAGCTTCCTCAGGGAGGTTGCTTTTAGAACCCCTGTTTCCCACTCAAACAAACCACCTCTCCCAGGAGGGGCACGTCCTGACCGCCTGTGCCAGCTTACCCAAGCAGGGGAGGATACAGTGCCTGTGCGTATGGGCACACACAGGTGCCCTCACAAAGTCATGTGATTTGGGGGGCAGCCCATGCTGTAACACCAACGTCATTATTGCAGTTTGGGCAGCAAAATTCATCCTGGGAAGGGGGTAACACAGCTGGACCATGGTCCTAAGGGAAGGCAGAGGCTTTTCCAGAAGCAAATGCAGCTGGGCAGCCAGGGCAGGCTGAGGATGCCATGGGTTGTTGTTTCTGCAGGGAAGCGTGCCTGCCTGGGCGAGTTGCTGGCCCGCACCGAGCTCTTCCTCTTCTTCACGTCTCTGCTCCAGAAATTCACCTTCCAGGCACCCCCAGACACCACGCTCAGCCTCCAGTTCAAGCTAGGGATCACGATGGCCCCGCAGCCCTACAAGATCTGTGCCGTGCCTCGGTAGGAAAGCCTTAGCCACCGTCCTCACAAGGAAAATACTTTGGCAGGGATGTTGAAAACGAGCCCCCCACAGCTCTCCTAGGTGGTGGTAATGACCGCCTGGCTCCAGGGAGAGGCTGGGCATTTTGTTTGTTTCTTTTAAAGCAATTGCAAAATCATTTCTTTTACAAGCGGACCTCGCACTCTGTATCGCATGAGAAAGGTGATCAGCCTGGGATCTGCCAGGGCACTTTTAGGCTTGTGATATGACACTGTAAATCAATGAGGGGCTTGGGACTTTCCTAATTTTATGATGGAGGGCCTTGCTTCTAAAGTGTTGCTTGTTTTCTTGCCCTTTTGACATTGCAATGTTCAGGCTGTGTCTGAGTACCCTGGAAGAACAGGACCAGCCCTCATTTTATAACTTTAAATTAGAGATGGTAATTGCCAACATTTTTTGATTTTGTTATCCTTGACAAATAATCCATTAAAAGAGTTACTCCATAACATCTCTTTCTCCTGCAACAATAAATTGCTACTGAAACATTTCTGCCATGAAACATTCTGCAAAGTGAAGACCAACACAGGCAATTCCCGGTGCTGGCTGTAGCCTTCAGCCGTACCCCGAATTTCGGGGTGGGGGGTAGCAGGGGACTGTGAGCCCACCAGGGCACCTGAGCCCCATCACTGTGGCATTACTCTCCATTAGTAGAGAGGTTGGCCCTGTAACAGCACAAGCAATTCCTACGGAACTGATGAAAAGAAACGACCCTGACTGAAGGGGTAAAGCAGCAATGAAACCACCACAGCCTGTGGCCAGGTCCCAGCCTGCCACAGCAATTAACAGTGTGACACCCACATGGAGAACAGCGGGTGCTCTCCCTGCTGACAGCTCTCTCTATGAAAAATCTGGACCTGTAGCTCTGGAAGTCGTGGGTCCTGCCTCCTAGACTACGCTAAATCCTCCCCATTTACCTGCCCGGCACCTCTGGGGGCAGAGTGGTGAGCTCCAGTCATGCAGGATGCATGGCTAAGCCTGCTGAGCATGATATAAAGTCTAATTAATAAAAAACATCTAACCAATAAAAGGGTCCCCTGGAAAATACCAGCAACAAATTACTGTTCTTTTAAACCATCACATGCAAGGTGAAACAGTTCCAAGTAGCAGTTGCACTGTGGGAACCCCACAAGGCCCCCAGGCGTGAGAAGCTGCAGCTCCCAGCAGGGCAGCAGGGCTGCCTGGCAGGACGCCACGCCACAGCGCCAATAACACGCACAGCCAGCTTCTGCTCACCTGCTGAGGAGGCGAGGAGAAAGCAATCTTTTTCTGTTCAATTTTTCCTGGAGTACTCTTTTGCATGTTCCTAGAGGAAGCAAGTTTTTCCCAGTGTCTCTTCTGAGAATTGTTATCCTCCTGAAGGAATTAAAAGCATCTTTTTTTCATGCAAGCATTAATGCCCAGATGGGTTTAAATCCTTTTATTTTAATCTGCATTTTCTCCTCCTCCAAGCGCAGAGGGGATGCAGCATAGAAGGCTGGGCTAGCCTTGTAGACCTGCCCAGAAAAGGGCAGAAACACCCTGTGGCCCCACAGCTGCACACAGCCATGCAACATAAAGCAAAATTTATAGCAGGTGAGCACAGCTTCTGGCAAGGCTCCTTCCAGCATAGGGCTTGGTGGGGAGGCTCTGCCCCCTCTGATTTTCTGTGCCAGGCACAGCCGGGTGCAGACAAGAGGTTGGACTAAGATGCTATTTCTGGCACTCAAGGCTCCTCTTTTGCAGATCCATAAGATGGAGACGTGAGAACACGTGGTGGGAACCAAACCAACCTATTTATAAAATGCAGGAGAGTTGACTGGCTTCTCACCAGAAGTGGGACAAGACATCCCCAAGCCCAGCTCTCCACCCCTCCCCTCCCCCTGCCAGCTGCCCTCCTGACCTGTTCCTGGCAAGGGGCTCCCATATCTTCCCTTTGAAGCAGAAACAAGGAAGTTCATTTAATTTTCTAGACCTTATGTTCTTTCTTTTCCTTCCTTGAGAGAAACAGACAGGGAAGGCTGGAAGCGGGCTGTATGCCTGGAATCGACTGGGAACAGGAGAGGGGAGCAGTTTCTGTTGAGTGCAGCGTTGCTCCCAAAGCACTTCCAGTTTGCAGGTGTCATCTGACTACTTTTTTTCGCTCCTTGGCTCAGAATCCTGTTTCCTTTCCCAGGCTGCTGCTATATCCAAAAGCTTCCTGACCCCTCCTCCCCAGGTCTCTGCTGGGTTAGTTGTACTCTGGGCAAAGAGCACATTTCACAGGACTGTTTTGCACAGGGGCTCCTTGGATGTTTTGCCCCCTCCAACAAAACCATCTCCCACGCATCACTGACCTCAACTCCTTCCTTTCTTTGTGCTCGGGGCTGTACTCCTGCACCTCTCTTCCAGGGACACCCCTTGCCTAAACATACAGACCTTCTGCTGCAGTGCTTGGCTCTTAAGGAGCTACCAGAAAAGCTGCAAGCAAACAGGGTCACCAAGCCAGGTTCTGCACAGGCAGTCTGCCTTGGAACATAGCTGCTTGTGACTGAGCACGTGGAAACAGAGGCCCCCCTGCACACTCCACCCCTCGCTCGCTCCTTCTGCACTCAGGAAGGCAGCGGCGGGAACCACGGCGGTGTCTGACAACAAGTT